TTTTTTTTTTTTTTTTTTTGGTACTGGGGATTGAACTCAGGTCCTTGGGCTTGCAAGGCAGGCCACCGAACTGCTGAGCTTAATCCCCGGCCCAAGTTCATTTTTTGAAATGTATTACTTTATAGATATTAAAGACAATTCAAAAATCATAGAATTATTAAAATACATTCTACACACCAAAAACAAACACTAGCCAGGCTGTGGGGCAAAAGGAACCCTTCTCCAATGCTAATGGGAGTGTAGACTGGTGCAACCATCATGGAAATTAGTGTGGAGATTCCTCAAAAACTAGGAGTAGAAGTCCCATTTGACCCAGATATTCCCTGGCTGGGTATGATCTTGAAAGAAATAAAAGCATCATTCCAGAGCGATATATGCACACCCATGTTTATAGCAGCTCAGTTTATAACAGCTTAAGCTTGGAAACAGCCCAGGTGCCCATCAACTAGTGACTGAATAAAGAAGATGTGGATTTCTTTTTTTAATAAAATACAGTACTACTTGGCCATAAGGAAGGATTAACTAGAGACATTTATAGCTAAATGGAAGCACCTTAAGACCATACTCTAAAGTGAAATACATAAGACACACATGTGTAAATACCACATTGTTTCTGTCATGCGAGAAACTAAAAGTATAAACGAAGACCAAAATTTATGATAGATACTGTGAAATAGGAAGAAAATGTTCAAAGGGAAAGGGGAATCAGGGGGAATGAGGGGTAAAGGAAAGGAGGAAAAAAATGCGACGAGAAGGAAAAATGAAAACAAAGCTTTTGTAAGATGGAGGAAAAAATAAGAACCAAGGTACATCATGTAAAGGTACAAATTCCCAATCATGAATGTGATCATACTGTGTGCCTAAAATGTAGCAGTAAATTTAATGAATAAAAAGGACATAAGTAATAAACATTCATTAAACACATTGCAATCCCCACAAAACATATGTAACTAGAAGGACAGGCAGGATGGGGGAATAGAGAGAAATGATCGCAGTTCGGGATGAGCATGCCCCAAAGCTCTGTTAATCTGTAGAATCCACATGCACGAATTGAAAACAGCATAATTATGGAATTAATTATCAGAGTCACAAAGGAGTGAGAATTGCATTTCATAGTTAAAGGAAATTACCTCTGTCCGTGGAGTAGTATGCATTGGAGTTCTCATATTAGACATATTAGATGCAGCACTCTGCAAAGCCCCAGAACTCTGCCTACAACGACCCTAAATCCTACTCATTAACATCGTGGGTCTGTGTAGCAGGTAATCTAACTCCCCGCTTTCTCAACTGACAACTGAGGTAAGTTTTAAACCCAGCAGCACACAAGTTTCCTGCATTTTCTGAAGAAGCACTTTTTACATTTCCTAGAATGATGACTGCTGTACCTGTCAAGCTGTGAGAGAGATGAAGTACTCACACTCACACTCACAAATGCTTTCACAAATGTTACTCAAACACCTGCTAATTCTGGGCTGGATTTCAGTTTCCAGAAGTACCATGCAAACCTCCAAGGGAAAAAAAAAATGTTTTTCTTCCTGGAAATTCCCTACCTGTTGGTAGAATTCAAAATAAACAAAGGTAAATAACTGTATACTATGTTAGATGGTAAAGAGTCTTTGTAGACAAAGTCAGAAGGAAAATAGAGCAGACTCAAGGTCATTGGGTTTCATTTTAAGAGAGAAAGGGAGCTTTTGAAGAGTCTTGTATAGGGAAATAAAATGAAAATCCTATTGCTATTATTCCTCCACTTAGTTTAGTGAACTTCATGTTATCAAACAACTGGAGTTAAATTGGTTTGAGGTTGGACAAGGCAAGAAAGATGAAGGAAAATGGCAAGTTTAAAAATGTATCTAAAGTGTTAGCCATAAGAAGTAATTTTAGCAAATAACAACTAATACCAACTGGAATGAGAGTTGCCTGAATGCAGGAATTTTGCCTGTTTTGTTCAGTGCCGTGGCTCATGACTAGACCAGTAATAATTTTTCATAAATAAATGTTATAAACAAATATTATATAAATATTATGCCACTTCTGCTGTCAATTTTCTTCAGCCTCATGCTAAAGCATCTTCTGTGATTCATAGGACCACAGTAACATTTCAGGTCGTAGGCCTCTGGCAAACAGAAGAGCTGATGCCTGCCTGGCCTCTCACATCTCCTGCACAAGCCAACTTCCTGCTTTGGTTTTGCGACATTCCATTTGGCATTTAATTGTATATTTAATTATAGAACAAATAAGAGAAATAACTCTTTGCCACAACGAAACTACCATTCCTTTTATATCTAATGACAGAAACACACTAATAATGTAGATGTCTCGTATTTATTTATTTACTTAGTTATTTATTTATTTTGGTACCAGGGATCGAACTCAGGTCCTTGCACTTGTGAGGCAGGCAGTGCAACCACTGAGCTAAATCCCCGGCCCTGTGTCTCTTATTTAAATGGCTTCATATCTAAGTACACAGAGAAGAGAAGACAAGAAGTTCATTGGATTGCAAGAACTTTATCCAAATTCTTAAGTATATTTTTCTAAGAGTAAAACTGTTGTAATAATATTCATATTGATTTCTCTGAAAGGAAATAGAAAAAGATGAAAAATATTAAACAGAATTTCTGAGAGCCAAAGGCCTCCTCCAATAGATACACCACCACTCAAATTTAAAGTACTGATTGTGCTACAACGTACTGCAGGTCTATCTTTTCTCTGGCTTTGCAAAATAAGTTTAACAAATTTCATTCAAATTATTTTTCACAATTTAAAATAAAACAATCGATAACATGACAATAAATGCTAAACTTCCTCTGTTTTGTGTCTTCTTTTAATTAAGTGCATGTTGACGCTGCATTCAAAACATTTGTACTGTATATGTAATTCTCTGTTCTGCTAGAGGAAAGCTTTCTTCGAGCTTTTGTTCAGCGTAAAACACAAAGAACATGTTTTGCAGGTTTTCCTCAAATATTGGACACCTTCAGAACATAATAATGACACTAATGTTAACTTTGTGTCTTCTAACGAGCTATCTCTGGGATATTCTAGATATCTCCACATTCCCACTGGAGAATGCCCCCATTGGCCACAACAGACAATTCAACATGGTGCCGTTCTGGCCCCCAGTCACCAGCACAGAAATGTTCGTCACCGCTGCAGACAACCTCGGGTACACGTACGAAGTTCAATGGCCAAGTGAGTGTTGGAAATGCACTTTTACTGCAGTGCATTCCGAAGCAAACCTGTCATCTTTAAAGTCAAATCATCACAGTATTCCGGGGTTTACCTTTGCTGTTTGGGTTTTGAAGCTTTGCATCGGGACATTAATTTGGGAGTAGAGAGAGGGGATTTGACATCTACTGAGAGCACATTCTGACCAGACGTTGAGCTGATTATGTGCTAGTGTGTCCTACACTCCTCACAACTCCTTTGAAGTATTATGTCTCGTTTTGCAAATGCGAAAACCAAGCCTTAGAGAGGTTAATTGTCTAAGATTTCAAGTCCTGTAAAATCATGAATTCTTGCCTCTGTCTCTTTATAAAAGAAGAGGGATTTGTGTATTTTAAGCTACTGTGACTGAGATTTTGAAATTCACAATGTTCTCACTCAGTTTTCTATCTCTTTCTCAAAAGACAAGGGCAGTAGAGTTATTGAAAGAGCCCAGGATTTAGATTTTGAAAAATTTGACCTCCAAAATCAACCAGTTCTCACCTAGCAAATCACACGGGACAAGAAACTCACACCAAGCCATCCTTTTTTTTTTTTTTTTTTTTTGCCTTTAACGTGGAAGTAAGATTAACTGTGCCCATACCACACACTTGTAGAAAACAAATTAGCACCTTGAAGATGACTGCCTTGTCTGTAACTGTATTACAAAAGATGGCCAGTAAAAATTAAGCCTGAGTATGTCTGTTAAAGAATGTAGAAGACTACCTAAAATTGAGGTGTCTAATTTTTGGTAATAGCTATTTAAATATTTATTTTATTTACTGTCATTTTCTCTTTCAACCAGGCCAGAACTTTAGTATCTCTGAGATTGTTACCATAGCAGTGGTTGCTGCCCTAGGATTGGTCGGACTCATTTTTCTTGGCACTTCTTATCTGATTCGTGCCAGAAGCAAAATGGACGAAGCCAACCAGCCTCTCCTCATTGACCAGTATCAGCCTTATGACGGAGGATACGAAAAAGCCCAGAACGCTACTCAGCCCATGGTCTGATGACGTGCCCTCCACCCCTTTGCACAGCGCTGTCAGGAAACAGCTTGGTTAAAAATGAGCAGCATGAGTTGCTCACTATGTTTTCTTTTTCTGTGCTCCTTTCTTATACAAGCATACGTGGTCATTAAAGCACTGCTTTTCAGAACTGAGAAGAGTACTTCAGACTCTTCTGCATGGTTCCTAATTATCAGCTCTATTTAAAATGTTCAGTTGCACCAAACCCCATGGCATTTAAAAGCTAGGGTGGTGATCTCTGGCATAGTTTAAAGGTTGACTACACCGTGTAAATAAACTGCTGTGCTTTGTTGCTGGGAAAGGAAAACAAAGTTTGATAGCAGTCTTTCTAAACTGCACAACTAAGCACTTCTATGCTTTTAAAATGTAAACGCAATTTCATTATTGATATGGGTCAACATATATGAAAGCAGCGGCCTTTATTAAAATACATTATATGAAATGATAAATAAATGGGATCTTAATGGGCGTTTTCAAATCGGTGCTCTCATTTGAGTTTCCGCACGTGATCTTTACCTCGAGCTCAAGCCCACCGCTAAGTCACAGTCTCTGCCACACGGTGAAGAAGTGAAACCTTCACTTCGCTGAGAAGCAGCGGGTGTTGTCTGTTTGCCACTGTGCTCCCTCGGCATGAATTCACTGAAGATGGAACTTCATGCCTTTCAGCCCTGGTTCACACATCTCTCTGCCTCACTCCTCTTCCACCAACTTAGGGGTTCCCCAAGAGAGCACACAAGTGGGGGACGAGCTCAGGGATGTGCTACAGAGAGATAACATCCTACTCACTGTGCTTCATTTAAACAACACTCTCTTAACATTTACGAGGCCCTGTGGGCATATGCAAAATAAAATATTAAAATATTATTTTGTTTGTCCCTGTCTTGATCCGGTTCTGCAAGGATGCTGTTTTTCCTATGATTTGATACCACAGTTTTTTCTGCTTTTGATCTTGCGTATGAGGCAGTTTCCTAAAGGCAGTATGTCTGCTGTACAAAAATGAACAAATATTACAATTAAAATCATAATGGGAAGAAGTAACTATAGTAATCATACCCTATAGAAAATGACTAATTTGATGTTCCCAACTCACTATCCAGAAAGCAGATTACTCCTGCTTGGTTACTGTTTTTTTAAGGCTATGTACACAAGATAAACAAAAAAAAAAAATTAAAGAGTATCACATAAAAGTGAGATTGTTTTAAATTTCCACGTAGAATTTTTCAGTTGGTTTCCTTAAATACATTTCAACGTATTAAAGTAAATATTCATATCATTTCAGAGAAATTATGGTGTAATGTAGTTCTTATATGAAACATCAGTGAAACTAAACACCCCTCCTTCAAATGTTTTGGACATTTACTGAACTTATTTCAGACATATTTATTAGGCCTATACTAAGTTACAGCGACCGTTCAAGACACTGTGGATTTCGGAGGAGAAAGTCAGGACTGTAAAACTGAGAAGGTCATGTTACACTTGTGCTTCACGGAATGCCAATGGGTTTACCAAATATAAAAGTGGAGAAGGGCATTCCGCTCAGAAGCGACAGCATGAGCGAAGGCACAGAAGTTTGAAAGAGCAGGGAACGTTCAAAAATATAAAGTAGGTTAGTGTGGTTAGAACGTAGCTGTCATGGAGGAGAGTGGAGAGATTAAATTGGGGATAAAACCGGAATGTCCCATATGCAATCCTAAAAAGTTTGGAATCCATTCGGTGGAAAAAAGGGAACGGAGTAAAGCTGTAAATAAAAATGTATTTTTTGAAGATACCAGTGGTAGAGATATTTATAACTAAGGTTGATGAGGAAAAGTAATTATATCACTTCAAAGATTAAGGCGACATTCCAATTCTTCAATGTTTCCTTTAGAATTTCCTGTGCTGCCTAAATTTCGCGTGTTACTATGGAGCAGTTCATGGGAGAGAGAAAGAAGGCCTGGCCCGATATGAACATGAATTTTAACTAATCCTAACTGTAAGAAAGCTCGCCACAGTACCTTATAAACACAGCTGCATCGTCTTATTCGCCCCACTTTCATGAACTCTTATTTATTGTGCAGATTGACAAGATCCTACCATCCCTACAATGTGTCATATTATTCATGCCAAATAGTACACATTCGGTATCTTGTTGATTTTTGCTCTCTTCTCTGCCCTCCGGTTCCAACGGTGAGACTGATATGCCCTCCCTGGAAAACAAATTTGACACCACTCTTCAAATCCATTCTTTCCCCTTGCTCAAGTGCCCACTTTAATTCTACCACCCGTGCTTACTTTTAGAGCATAAATGGTGTGGGATGAAATGCCCAACACTCCCATACAAGCAAGAATAAACAGCTGTTAAATCCGTGGTCCCCAGTTCCATCCCGCCTTTGTTCCTAGAAACATATTTCAGAGGTAATGCCAAATTACAGTTTCTTGAAACTAAAAAATAATGAATACAAGGGAAAAAGAAACTTGGGCTTTGTAATTTAAGTCTTCCAAGATTTGATTGTAAGATATTTATTCTGGGCTCAGCTCATGAATATCAAGTAAAGCTACACATTTTGGCCCTTTTCTACACCCTGGTTCAAATTTGCATCAACAAACAAATACGGTATCCAGGTGGGCAGAGGGGTAATAAGAAATGGGGAAAAAAGGGATTTAAAATATTGGTATGGCAAGAACAGAGCCTGATAAAGAAACAAAATATGATAAGGAACGGTGCAAAATATGCTAGTTCAAAACTGTGACTGCAAGATTTAAAGGACAAAGGGAGACGAGCACTAGCAGGATACTTTATGAAATAATCAGATTGTAGTGGATTTCAAGTTTAATAAAAGCCAACATTTTTCCTCCTTTTATTTTTATTTTTTTCAGCTTGAATTGAGTTTATTGGTACATTTTAGGGATACAGTACAGTTACATTCATTGTTGAGATCTTGTACCTCTACATGACAAGTCTTGATTCTCATTGCGATGCTACGTCGGGGAAAGCAGTACTCAACTGGCAGAGGAGGAAAATATTCACACATCGAGCTTCACTGATACATAAACAGAGATCTGTGTTGTCCAAGCCACATCAGAGGGATTTGTGCCACATGGCGAGGGTCACACTGACAAACTGGAACGTCTACCTTCAAATGTTAAGTGATACAATTACTAGCCTAACATCTTTCAGTGCTACCATTTCCCTCAGCTCTCACATCCATCAGTAATTGTGTAATACACAGTCAGCATCTATCGACTGTTATGTCCTAAACGCTGAACTCATCAGCTGAGGAGATTTCTGCCTCCAGTGCACCTGTGGCCAGGTGAGAGCGCACTTTGGTCCATTACAGCAGGTACTGGTGCTATTACTGCCATCTAGTGGGGAGAGGGAGGAAATGTAACTAAGCGTCCCAAAATGCACAGGACAACTCCGAGGTTTAAAATTGGTCCAGCCAAAATGTTGATGGTACTGAAGTTAAGAAAACCTGACGTAAGGATGCAGGAATAAATATCTTCCCTACTGCTACTGACCTCCAGACCTTAGTATCTAACCGAACAGCCTAACACGTACCAGTATCTATTAAGAAGCCAGTATTACCCGGTACAAGGTTTCAGGAATAAGGAGTAAAATGTAGGTAAGGCAAAGAAATGATGCCTTCAGAGGCTCAAGTTCTTTGTATCTTCTTTCCACCACCTTCAGTATGTAGCTTTTTGCTGTTTTATTTATGGCAGGACTGAAAACATAGCTGATGCATCTTTAAACTTTATATCCATTCCATGCAGAAATGTCCCTTCTTTTCAGAAATGGCATCTTCCCTAACTTTTTCATTATTATCTCTTCAAAAGTTTACCATATGGCAGAGCAATCAAGAAAGTTGAGGAACTTGGTTGGCTGACACTCTGGCTGCCAGGCTGGTTACTGTCTCGGATAAAATCAGAATTCTAACAGGAAAGGACGGCGAGAAAATGAATTCTGGATCGTGGCATGAGTGAAGTCCCAACAAATAAGAAAGTGGTACAGATATTTAATTACAGCAGCCTGAATGAAACACACAGGATGCTTTTTATTTTATTTTTATTTTTATTTTTTATTTTTGTTTTTTTGAGACAGGGTCTCACTATGTAGTTGAGACTAATCTGGAACTCATTATGTAGCCCAGGCTGGTCTCGAATTTACAGCGATCCTCCTGCCTCAGCCTCCCGAGTGCTGGGATTATAGGGGTGTGCCACCACACAGGGCTCACAGGATGCCTTTTAAAAGATCTAACAAGGCAATCTGATAAGGTAAGATTACAGATTATAGATTATAAAAAATTACTTGAAGAAATGGCAAGCTGGATTCTAAAGGATTTTTCAAACTGCTGGAAGAGTTAGCAAGGCAGGGATGTAGGCACAGAGAAGAACACGCAATGTACCTCTAGTTTGGAAGTGAGATTTTAAAACCCACTATATTGAAGTATGGCTGACATTCAATATATTTAATATATATGATGTGATTACTTTGGAAACAAACATATTGTCATGAACTGATCACCACAACCTATACGTAAATATGTCCATCTAGAGAAATATAATCTAGCAGTTCCCCCTCTCTCTTCATTTAGATCTAATTTCATAAGAAGTTTTAAATTATGCATTAAAATTATTCATTGCAATTCTGTATTATAGTCTTGTTAACTATTGGCAGTACGTTGTGCTAGGACTTATTTATTAACTCTTATTTTGGTAAGGACATTTGAGAGCCTTTAATACCTCCTTCTTCTCCTCCATGATTTCTAGCAACTATTCTTAACTGCTTCTATGAGTTTGTCCTTTTTAAAGTTCATACGTATATATATTCTTCTTCCTATACCTAGTTATCTCTCTGCATATGAAGTCCTCCAAGTTCAACCACATCAGAAATGGCAGGATCTCCTCCGTTAAAGACCGATTATCATTCTACTGCATGCATACACATTTTCATCTATTCATCTGTTGGTGGACACTTATTTTGGTCCCTTGTTTTGGCAACTATGAATAATTCAACCACAAACAAAAAAATAAAACTATGCTTTTTAGACCCTAATTTCAACTTTTTTGGATATATATAACCAGCAGTGAGATTACTGGACCCTAAGGTAGCTTTATAATTCATTTTCTGAGAATTTCTACACTTTTCTTCGCAGTGACTACACCAGTCTACCTTCCCACTACCATTGCTCAGCTTCTGTTTCAACCCCATTTACATGAAGGTAAGTTGTCTTTTGCTTTCTTTTTTATATTAACCAACCTAGAAGATATGATTCTCCTTGTGATTTTGACTTCGATTTCCCTGTTAGTGATAGTCAGCATTTTTCATATGCTGCTAGCTATTTTTATGTCTTTCTATGTATTCAGTATGACTGAATTACTTTCTTTTTGTGTGTGTGTTTTTTTAGACAGGGTCTCACTCTGTAGTTCAGACTGCTCTGGAACTCACTGTGTAGTCCAGGCTGGTCTCGAACTCACAGCGATCTTCCTGCCTCAGCCTCCCGAGTGCTGGGATTACAGGCGTGAGCCACCACGCCCGGCTGATTTACTTTCTTTTATGTAGTCGATGACTTTGCCCATTTCTAATTTGATCACATGGTTTCCTGTTACTGAGCTGTATATTCTGCATATCCATCTCTTACTATATATTCTCTCTGTGAATGTAGTCTCCAGTTCTGTAGGTAGCCTTTTCATTCAGTTGACTGTTTCCTTTGCTGTGCAGAAGTTTTTTAGTTTGATGTCTATCCAGTTGTCCAGTTTTGTTGTTGCTACCAGTGCATTTGATGTTATAGCCAGAAGAAAACTATCTCGAAGCTGCCCACC